GACGTGGCGCCGGCCTCCGCGGCCCCCGTGGAGAGGCCAATCCCGGTGGGAATGCCTGGGGAAGCGGCAGCCCTCCCCGGGAGTCGCCGCGACAGCCCCCCCGCCCCATGCAGGACAAAGGGGGCATGCGAAACAGAGGCTTTTTGAGGAGAAAGAAACGTTTTTATTGATTTAACCCAAAACGAGTGCGCGAGAGCGGGGAGATGCCAGACAAGAAACCTGCCGAGTATAAAAGAAACCGGTTGGGCCCTAGTGAACAACCGCGTGGCACAAGAAGCGCAGGCGTCTCCGTGCCACGAGCGCCCCRGCGCTCCCGCCGCCCCGGCCTCATCCCGCACGGAGCGGCCGCCGCCTCCGGAAAACCGCGCGGCAGCCGGGAATGGGCCCGGCGGGATCCGCAGGGCGCAGAGCAACCCCACCCCGGCCCTGTTCCCTCCCAACCTTAGGTTTATTGAGGCTTTCTACTGCCATGATACGTGGTTCGGTAATTTGCGAAATACCTAAATACCGTTAAATATATATATATATATAATATATATTAAAAAAAAAAAGAAAAACCCTTAAACAGACTCTGGACTAAACAAGATGAGCGTTGAACTAAAAGGAGGGGATGCTGTTTACGTGGACCCCTTAAAAAATAGAATTGCTTTGTCAGGTTTTCCTTGGAAGGCAATCAGCCACAGTGGTGAGACGCACTCCCGCGGGGGGCGCCGAGTCTTCCTGCCCTCCCGGTCACTCCAGAAGCCCCGGCTTCCATGGGAAACGGCGGGAAGGGCCGAGCCCGGGATCGCAGGATGGTGGCGTCTCCGTGTGCCGGGACAAAGAGCCGTGTCACCACTGTGCGCCGGAGCGGCGGGAGGCGTCGGGTCGATGCCGGTCCGCGGTCGGAAAAGCCTCCCGTGTCCTCCAAGTCCGTGGGGAGCTGCCGCCGGGATAAGGCCGGCAGGGCAGCGCTCYGGCCTCAGTCAATGTACTGGGATAGCCAGCGGAAGCCCTCGCCGTAGCCTTGCCGCTTGAGCACGCTGCACATGAACACCTCCATGGGGCGCGCGTTCAGCTCCTTCAGGGGCACGTTTCCCTGGAAAAGCCCGGGAAATGGAAAGGGAATCCCTCCAAACGCCCGCCTCGGAGCCCGGCGCGCGCCGGGCAGGGCGCAGGCTCTGCCCTACCTTGCCCGTGGTCTGTCCGTAGAGGCCGAAGATCTCGCGCAGCTTCTCCTCGCTGACGGCCTCGGGCCGGTCGATCTTGTTGCCCAGGATGAGGATGGGCACGTTGGATATCGTGTCGTCCGTCATGAGCGCCTGCCAGCGACACGGCGCCGTGAGCGGCAGCACCGCCCGCCCCAAGGAACACCCCGTTCCGGAAGAACCCCCCGTTTTTCCCCTTAAGCTCCATGAAAAACTAGCGTTTATCTTTGGTAGCCCTCAGGAAAGGGTCTTTCCAGGGCAGGTTTTTGGAAGGAGGGTCTAGGCTGACCCTACGGCMGCGCAGAAGCAATGGGACAATTCCCACAAGTGCCCCCTGCTCTACAGCGCTGCCCCCCCATCCGAGAGCTGCTGCTCCAGCCCTGGACCGGGAGCAGCCGCTCCGGCTCCGAAGGAAGAGGGGGCGTTACGTTAAGCTCCACTTTGGACTCCATGAGGCGCGAGTGGTCGGCACAGTCCACCAGGAAGACGATGCCGTTGATGGCCGGCAGGTAGTTCTTCCAGACGCGGCGAGCTGCAACACACGCGGGCGACAAAATATCCCCCCGGGTGAGAAAAACACGGGAGGTTATGGCCCCGGAGCGCCGGGAGGCTCCGGGCGCGCGTCCCAAGGGAGCCCCTCGTGGGGACGGCGGCGTCACCTTGCTCGTGGCCGCCCAGGTCGAAGGTGGTGAAGGTCATGCCGGCGATGGTGAGCTCCTCGGACGCTGCGGGGACACGGGCGGGAATGGACATTGCTATGGGGACGCAGGGATGGATGCTGTGGGGGTACGGGGATGGCTGTTGGGGGGGACGCGGGGATGGCTGTTGGGAGGACGCTGGGATGGATGTTGGGGGGATGCAGGGATGGATGGATGCTGTGGGGACGCAGGGATGGATGCTGTGGGGATGCAGGGATGGATGGATGCTGTGGGGATGCAGGGATGGATGCTGTGGGGATGGATGGCTGTTGGGGGGTGCGGGGATGGATGGCTGCCGTGGGGCTCTGTGTGTCTGTGTGTGTGTCTGTCTGTGTGTGTCTGTCTGTGTGTCTGTCTGTGTGTGTCTGTCTGTGTGTGTCTGTCTGTGTGTGTGTCTCTGTGTGTCTGTCTGTGTGTGTCTGTCTGTGTGTGTGTGCGCGCGCTGCCGCGGGGCGCCCCGCGCCGGGCCGGCACTCACTGGGGTGCAGCGTGGGCACGTGCTGGCCCAGCCGGTCGTCCTTGAGCATGTGCAGCAGGGTGGTCTTGCCCGCGTTGTCCAGGCCCAGGAACACGAGCTTGCCGCACTTGCGGTACAGGCCTGGCGCGGGGGGGGGTCACGGCGGGACCGGCCCCACGGCCCCCCGCGCCCGCGCCCGCGCGCGCCCGCCCGCGCCCCCCGTACCCAGGAAGTGCAGCGCGCCGCTGAGGCCGCTGTAGAGCCACTCGAAGAGGAAGGACATGGCGCTCCACGGGT